AAAGAAAGAAAGAAATTTATCTTTATTCCAGAATACAGAGAGAAATCTGAAATTTTGAATAACAATTTTGGACTCTGCTGCAAAAATTCTCCTAACATTTTCAGTCAATTTTATTGCTTGATTGTTTTTAATCTCTTATAAAACACAGATAGCCACACTTATTCTGTGTAAAGGCTTGAGGGGAAACTAACTGGCCCACTGACGTTTCTCTTCTCATGATAGTGTTTCCATGTGGAAGTTCGTAGCTCAGGATCATGTTGAGAGCCGGCTGGCTGCTAAGGCCTGTGCTGCTTGTGTCTTGAACTTTCTAGACTTTGGAAGTCATCAGTCCAACTTAGAAGGTCATTCTTAAAGCCAGGAGGGTCTGTATTTTCCTTGGCCTCTTTCTTCCAGCAAATGTTATAAAACCTTAATTCTCATTGTGGGCTAATTATTCTCTTCTATTTGCCTGAACCATAATTCAGTGGGAACTATTCCTACTCAAAGAAATGAGGGCAGAAATTATATAATTGAGAATAATGGCTGGAAAGCTATGAATGTCTAGAATCCTGTGTTAAGTCTGATACATACTAGCTTGGTGGTCTTTATAGGCAGTTCACTGGGAAAAAAATTTTTTTCTTCCACTTTCAAAGTGGGATCATCATAAAGATTAAATATTTACTGACTGACAATAATGAGCCAGCTCCTTAGAAAAATGAGACCTATTGTTAGTACCTAAACACTTTCCAATTAAAAGAGTATGATTTTAACTCAGCTGGTTCTCAATTAGAGAAATTCCAATATATGAAAATTCCCAAATTTAATAAAATAGAAATATTGTAAGGATTATTTCCATTATGAATATATACATTTAATTAACTGCCAACTAAGTATTTTTAAGGGCATCACGATGGACCTGACTGAAGAGAAACTATAGTCATTTGTACTTGGTGCTTTTAATTATTAATATACTGCAACCTTTAGAAAAAAAATTTTCCTAAGAAACATGAAATCTCAACACCACCAATTTGCAATTGAAGTCTTTCTTTATTAATGTTATCCAGGCAGGATGAATAAAAATTCTAAATGTTTAGCATTCTTAAGTAATGCTAGATGATTAGACATCTGGTGTAGGTTTTATAATTAAATGAGGCTTAAGAGTTATGCTGATAGGATAATGCTGGCCTTTACAAATATCTGGTCCCTTTCTTGAAGTTGTTAGTTAAAAACAGTGATAAAATACGTAGAAATTATTTACTAGCCATTTTGGAACAGGAAACAAAATATTAAACCATGTTCAAAAAATTATTCTTTGTATTTTAGGCCCTCCAGGGAAACGAGGTAAGAGAGGCCGAAGGGGAGAATCTGGTAAGTCTCTCTTTCAGCTGCTCCACGTCACTAATGTTTTGGTTAGATTCCTGCATCTGTTCCTCCTAATTAATGATTATATTGTCTTGCTGGAGGTTGCACGTAAGCTTGTGTGTTTAAATCGCCTCTGCTAGACCTAGAATTTTTTTTAATCTTCTTATTTCCATCAAACTGTAGGTAGAAGTTTGGAAAATATTGTTGATTTGTTATGTTTGATAACTACTGGCACCCAGTTTTGGGTTATTTACTGTGTCAGGTTAAGTTCGTCCTTTGTGCATACAGTGGAGGGTTTCTCAGCTGCACGCAATGTGGCAATACACCCATGCTTCCGTCTCCACAGATAGCAAATGCAGGATCTTTATGAAAACATCTGCTTTGGGACACTGGGGCACATGTCTTGGAAAGCTTTATTGTTATTTTATCCAACTGGTACAATTTTGTCATGCTTTTACTCTCATTCATTTCAAAATTTGGAATTTTTATTCCTCTTGTATAACCCTAGAATTTTAGTGGTGACAGCAGCCTCAGTAATCAATCCAGCATTTTCATTTTGTAGTTGAGGAAATGAGGCCCCAGAGCGGTCAGGTAATTCGGCCAAGGCCACGCAATATTTTATGAGCAGAATTTGAAACAGGACCAATTGTCCTGATGCCCACTTCAGTGAGTTTTGGCTTTCAGGCCAAATCTCTATATGTATCTTCCTCTTACCTTGCAAGGAAGAATTGATGGCCTGATAAGACTTCACGTGGTCATTTACATTTTTGGAGTCTTAGACTTTATAAAACAAGCAAGACAGTAAGTGCACACACTCATTTGGACATTTGGTTTCAAAAAATTTTTTTTTATTTGAGTTTTTTTCTTTACTTTGAAAAGGTAATTTAAGATTTCATTCTAGTGTGCTAAGAAATGCTCTTCTCCAGTATTTTTTAATAAGTATTTATCAGTGTTAAAAACAACCAATTTCTAAGTGTTGAAGTAGTAGAAATACTAACCTACCAAAAAGAGCAGCAGATTGATTTGTTGTGTTTTTGTTTTTTTGTCTCATTTCCTTTTTTGAAAAAAAAAGGAAGATGTCAAAGTAAAAGGAATTTATGAAAATTCAATAATTTGGGCAGTATACTTGCTTAATTCCCTTAAGAGTGTTCTTAAAAGTTACCTTTAAACCTCATTTAATCTAAATAATTGGATACTTGTATAGGTATCCCTTTCACCTTACAAAGTTTTATATTAGAGGATGGTTTAAATGTGTTTTAAGGAATAAGAAATAATGAAACATTAGTGGAATCAAATAATCGGTGACTTGATCTTTGTCAAAAGAAATACAAAGGATTGGGGGAAAAAAAGTAAAAATTTTGTACTGATGTGAAGTTTTATAGAAAAATTAAAAAGTCAGTTCCTAACTTATTAGCTACTAAAACTTGTGTTTTAATTGCGTATACAGTGCGGATATATTGAAATTTTCTAGACTTTTCCTGTGTTTTGATGAGAATACAAAGTTTTAAAGAAATATAAATATCAGGGTTTAGTCTTTTATATATTGATAATGCTACTGAATGAAAAAACATTCTTAGAACAAATAATGGGTACATTTCTCATTGAACCATTTTACCAAACTCAAGAAAAGTTATATATCAATTCTGTCTAACTGGGCTATCATAAACAACCAAAGATCCTCCTGATTCATGTTTTATCTAAATTTTTAAGTATACATAGGCCATCTTAAGATGAACCTCTCAGTAATTCATAGACAGGCCTCAGGGAATCTGAACATTTACTGAAATTTTATGTAAATTTTTGTGTGCAGATAGATGTAAATGCACTTTTCTGATATGGTATCAAAGTTGTCCATGAACTGAAAAAAAAGATTAAGATTCATTGAATTCTAGATGACTTCATCATCTTGTATTTTGCTAATGATTATGACAATGCTTTCATCTTATATTTAATCTTAATATTTTGCATCTTCACTAATTCATCTCCCCCTTTCTCTTATTCTCTCCACCCCACCCCCACCCCACAGGTCCTCCCGTAAGTATTTTTGTTGCATTTGGGTTCATGTACCTTAATCGGGATCACGTATGTTAAAACTTTGTTAAGGCATCAAAATATAGTCTATATTTCAATTAGAAAAATGTTACTGACCTTTGAAGAGTATTTAACGTTGTGAAATTATTTTTCTGGTACACTGTTTTGGATGTGTTGAAGTGCAAAACGTGTCAATTTAAAAAAAACCAACTTTATTTTTAATACTATCACAGCCAGTTACTCTCCTGGGACTTTTGGAATAACTTATGAAGCTCCTGATATTAAATCTTTTCCTGGAATTCTGAGGTTTCTCTTGCAAGCAAATCCCCAAGCTATTTTGCACTTCTTTTTTCATCTGTTTAAACTTGTATCTGAAATATTTGCATTTGCCAGTCCACCAAATGTAGATGGCAACATGATCATGGAAATGATACCCCCCATGGGCTTGGTCCGGTACTCCCTCCTTAGGCAACACTCCCTTTGAAGTCTGTTGGAGTTTGCCTGCATAAAAAACATGAGATGGAGCCCTTGGAGAGTTGCACTTTCTTTTTTCTTTCCTTGAGTAGGTCAGAGCTGCAGCATTCCAGCCTGCTTTGCACTCACAGGAACAGATTATCTTGTCAGCTTTGAGCTAGATGTGTTTTTGAGTAATAATATCCTGGATATCTGTTGTCTGACCCCAGTGTTTGCATTGTCCACTGTACGTTTACGGTAGCAATGATCATTGGCCTTGAGATATTTTCTCATCCCGAATAGCCAGTTTGCTCCAGGGTTCAAAGACTCCACATTGGCAACTTATCTGACAGGCCAGCATGGTCCGGGGAGAGGGGCTTAACATATACTCGTTTACTTTATTCAAAGGAAGCATTGGCTTCCAAATATCTTTTGCAGTCTTCCTGCCACGTTCAAGGGTGGAACATAAATCATGTTAGAAGTGTCTTTGCTTCTGTAACTGACTTTCAGCTCCTGCTTAATGCTAGGCAGATGGCATGGCCCAGGTCTAGGAGCCTTATTCTTTGGCTTCATATGTGAGCCTCTGTTTTTAAAACTAGAAGGAAACCATTACTACCCAGAGGAAACTCTGGGAATTACAGCCAGTATAGAGTGTTCCAGGCTTTTGTTGGTGGATGTAAGTATTAGACATGCCAAGAGGTAGTTAAATCTTGCTTTTGCTGTATGGTGACAGTCCGGGTTCTAGTATTTCCTCTTTGGCCCTTCAGAAGTTTCAGCAGCCACACACACCCTCCTTTCTTGGGGCCATCTATTATTCCAGGTTCTCCACTAAAGATTTAATTGTTCTTTCCTTTCTTATTATATAAAAAGAAAATAGAACTAATACGTTTAAGCCCTGAGTACAGGCATACCTGGGAGATATTGTGGGTTCGGTTCCAGACTACTGCAATAAAGTGAATAACACAATGCTTATAAAAGTTATGTTTACATTATACTGTAGTGTCTTAAGTGTGTAATAGCATTATGTCCAAAAACAAAACAAAACAAAAGGTACCTGCCTTAATTAAAAAATACTTTATTGCTAAAAATGCTAACCATCATCTAAGATTTCAGTGAGTCATAATCACTGATCACAGATCCATAACAGATATAATAATAATAAAAAAGTTTGAAATATTGTGAGAATTACCAAAATGTGACACAGAGACACAAAGTGAGCAAATGCTGTTAGAAAGTGGTTCCTATGGACTTGCTTGATGCAGGGTTGCCACAAACCTTTAATTTGTAATTAAAAAAAACCCACGATAGCTGTGAAGCCCAATAATGTGAAATGTAATATAATGACATATGTCTGTATGGCAAGTAATATTCTAGGCACTTCACACACGTACTTTCATTTTTGTCTCACATAAATCCTAGTGTTAACATTCCCATTGCTCAGTGAGGAAAAGACTCATAGAGGTTAATTATCAATAGTTGCACCTCTAGAGAGGGTTTACAAAGTTGGAATTATTTAGATGTGTCTGATTTTAAACCCTTTCCACTTACCACACTATCTCTATCCTTTATGAATTATGAATGTATTACAACATTGGTCTTTGTCACACAGGTTTGTCAGGCTATGGTCAAATCATATTCCTCGATATAAGTAATTATATATAATAAAAACATGTCTAAAAAATATAAAGCGGCTAATCTATAAAATGAGCATTCATACTGTCCCAACTTGACAACGTTTTGAAGAAGTTATAATGTTTAGCAAACTGCATCAAACCCAAGAAATAAGGTATAATTATGAGTTTTAATAATAATTGAGTTTATAATTTAATAATTTTAATAATTTAATAATAAATGAATAACTTAATAAATGAGTTTAATAATACTGACTAAAAAATAATTGAAGTCACTCACATTTGGAAAGATGAAGAACCATTGATTGTGAAAAAGAGGAAAAATATGTATTGATCATGTTATCTCTTCTAATACAATGGAGTCTTATGGTACTTGGGACCCCATATCATGGGAACCCTTATGGGTGAAATACCTTATAATGAAATCCTCTTGAGCCTCTAATTTCTAAACCCTTATATATGATTTTCAAGAAGTATTTGCCTTTTTTCAAATTTAACTTTAGAGTTATAAAATATTTCCATTATATTTCTTGCATCTGAATAAAAATAAATGAACAGTGGCATTATTATGATTAAATAGCTTTACCAATGATATATTTATTGAGGTATAATATCTAATTATTGACAATTATAATTTGAAGTGACCATACTCATCCTAGTTTTAGCATCATTTAATTTTATGTGTATTTTCCCCTTCCATTTCTTTTCCCTGAACTGAAATCTTAAGTTTCTGTAATTTTATTTTTAGAGAAATTTTATTTTCCTAATTTTGTATTTTTAAAAAAATATATTTAACTATCTTCATAAATAAGAAGTTGGATGAAATATTAAAGCTTATGCTGCCATTTAATGGCAGTTGCCCTTGCCTCCATCCTGTAAATTCAGTGTAAAGCACAAAGGTAGTCTGAGAAGGTCCATGGTCTTGCTTTTGGTGAGCAATCCATGGCACAGAGCCTGTGCCAGAATCCTTGGCAAAAGTAAATTCCTCCAGCTCCTTCTAGCCATGAGCTTCTGTGGTCCCATGGTTTCGCATGTACAGAAAGATTATGAAGTATAACCTGGTGTCCTGGTGTGTATTTTCTTGTCATTCACTTTCACTTGTGAAATGTGCTCAGTAGTGTAAAAAACAGCATTCACGCACTTATGAAACAAACAAATAAAAGATTGATTGACCTGAGGGACAGTAACAGATCTCTTTTGCCACTAAGAGTCACCTTTTTCATTGCCTTTCTGAAATAATACCCTGAAGTAAAATTTTTTGAAAAAGCATAATGATAAAATTTAATTTAGCAACCTTACATTTACATCTTCATGTGATGTATTTTGGAGAACTTGGATACATTACACTAGAATTGTGTGTGGCTAAAGTGTTTTTTCTCTGTCAGTTTCTATGTCTTGCATATTGAGATCATTTATAATTTAAAGCTTGAAATACAACTTGAATTAGATCCCACATATCAATTTGCCCTTTAGGAAGAATCTATTCAGCTTATAACTCAGTTACCCATTTTGATAAAAAGATATTGCGGGGCGCCTGGGTGGCTCAGTTGGTTGAGCGACTGCCTTCGGCTCGGGTCATGGTCCTGGAGTCCCGGGGTCGAGTCCCGCGTCGGGCTCCCTGCTTGGCGGGGAGTCTGCTTCTCCCTCAGACCCTCTTCCCTCTCGTGCTCTCTATCTCTCATTCTCTCTCTGTCAAATAAATAAATAAAATCTTTTAAAAAAAGATTAAAAAAGATATCACTACCATAGGAGTCTCTATTATAAAAGGCTACAATGGAGTAATTTTATGATAACATAATTTACTTTTACATGAACATCAGGTACTTTTTTCTATTTTCTTTTTCATAAAGGTAACATGTATTAAAACAGTGCTCTAAAGGAATCCATGAAAGTGCTTTGATCGCCTAGCTCGGATATCACGAATATGTTTGCTAGGATGATTTGCCTGACCGTTGTGTTACCTGATTGCCTATGGCATGAAATTGTACCTTCTATTCTGGATGTCTTAAAAATACATTCATGTTTCAATAAGAAGCAAAAAGTAAGATTAAATTTACAAAGTGACTTCAAGTTTTCAAAGTAGCAAATTTTGCACTATTTTGGACCCTTTTTAGAATCAGTAGGGGATGTGGTTTCTCTGTCCTTTGTCCTCAAAGGAGATGCTATTCTAATATTCATAGGTAGCAGATTCAAATGAGTCCTATAACAGAAAAGAGTCAGGAGACCTGTTTTAACTGGCTTTTTATTTGTATCAGTCTATCAAGCCGTATAATTGTGCTTGACTGACAGAGATATGATGTTATTGTTGGTAGCATAGAACCCTCTGAGGTGTGAAATACGACGCTCTTGTGCAGCCTGTTCTGTCCCATCTACCTTCAGCAATTGTCAACTCAATTTGAAGTCCAGAATCTTGTTGACAGATGAATGAAGCAGACTTAGCCAAGTTAAGCTTACAATGCTATTTCTGCCAGTGTGGTAGATGAATTAGGAAAAGAAATCTCTGAGGAAATTTTAGATGAAAAACTCTGCTATCTTTACTTCATATTGTAAAAAAACAATATGACTTTTAAGTCAATAGTAAATCTTTTCCAGATATGCTAATAATTACAGTTTATGGTAAACTTCCTACCACGTGTCACTTTACAGACCAATTCTCATACCAGGACCGTGAACTAGAGATTTATTATACCCATTTTACAGACTAAGAAACTGAGGGTTGGGCAGGTCAAGTAATTTTGCCCAAGCACTCACATTTAGCAGGAAGCAGAACCAAAATTTGAACCCATGCCATCTCTATCTCTCTTCAAAGCCCACCCCCCCCATATTTCTGTAAGATGTTTTTCAGGCAAGTAAGGTTTAAGATTTACCACTTTCTTTGCAAATACCTTCTTTGTTGTGTCTTATCCTACCCTCTGTTAC